TTGCCTATCCGTTGCGAAGATTCTCGATCATTCCCATAGTCACTACATTACTCACCCCTCAGTAAACGGGGTATTTACAATAAATTGTTAATAACATGGTTTTATAAGATATAATTTGTAGTTAAATGTTTTGGGAAATGTACTTTTCGTCCTGGGTGCGTTTGCTTTGGTTGTGCTAAAACTGCTGTACTTGTTGTGTCCGTATTATGTTCAGGTACTTTGTCTTCTATGTAAGCGGGTTTGAGTCGATCAATTAATATTGTATTGGATTTACCGTTGATTAGAAGGTCGAATGTCTTGGGAGTTCTTTATAACACTTGAAATGGTCCTTCGAATGTATAGGCTAATTTGGGCTTCAAAGCGTCGATTCTTTGGTATACGTGAGTACATGTTTCTAGATCTTTTGGTATGAAAGTGCGTTTTGATGATGATGTGTGATGATATACTATTGGGGCTTCTTTCGAAAATTGTTGTTGAAGTTGTTTTATGAAATCAGATGGTTCTGGTAGTTGTTCTATTTCTTCAAAAAATTGTCCTGGTAGTCTTAGCGTTTGACCATAGACTAGTTCGGCTGGGGATGCTTTCAAGTCTTCTTTTATTGTTATGCGTAGGCCTAATAAGATCATAGGTAGTTCTTCGGACCAATGGATGCTGTCTTTACATGTTATAGCGGCTTCTAGTGTTCTATGTACTCTTTCTATCATTACATTTGCTTGTGCATGATATGGTGATGAACGTATTGTTGATTCAAATTGTCTACCCTGATCTGTCGTTATTCTATGGAGTACTCTAAATCTTGCAATCCAATGTTGAGTTAGGGCGGTGGCACATGTTTCTACAGTTATGCTTTTATAGGCACTGCCTCTATCCATCTTGTGAACCTATCGATCATAGTCAATATGTATTTATAAGTTTTAAATGGTGGTAATGGTCCTACAATATCAATGTGTATGTGTTCGAAACGACCACTTAGTGGATTAAAATTGCCGATTGGGGTAATTGTGTGTTTGTATGTTTTTGTTTTTTGACATTTTTCACATGCTTTTACCCATG